TCCAAGGTAGGTTGGTATTAAAAATGGCCGAAATCGGACTGTAACCACGCCCACATCCCATATAACGGTAATTTCCAGAACTACGAAAACTGCGATATTTTAGTAACTACTGAGGATAATTCACTCAATTTTGATAATTTTCAGACGAAATATAAGAATATTATACTCATTTTTGTTATATAATACATTTTTGGAAAATGGGCGTAGCCACGCCCACTTATGATTAAATGTGTATATCTAGGTAACCGCTGCACCAATTTCTTCCAAACTTGGCACAGTTGTTGGCCATGATACAGCATACTAAATGACCGAAAATTTAAAAAATCGGACAATAACCACGCCCACATCCCATATAACAGTAATTTTCGGAAATACGAAAACTGCGATACTTTAGTAACTACTAAAGATTATTCACTCAAAATTGATATTTACAACAATGTTTAGACGAGAACTAAGAATATTATAAATTTTTGGAAAATGGGCGTAGCCACGCCCACTTATGGTTACATGTGTATATCTTGGTAACCGCTGCACCAATTTCTTCCAAACTTGGCACAGTTGTTGGCCTTGGTACAGCATACTAAATGGCCGAAAATTTAAAAAATCGGACAATTACCACGCCCACATCCCATATAACGGTAATTTAAAGAAATACAAAATCTTAGATAAATCAGTAAATATTAAAGATAATTTATTCAAAATTGATGCTTGCAACAATTCTTTACCAAGAAATACGTTTATGGTAAAATTTTGGAAAATGGGCGTGGCATCGCCCCCTTATGATCACATATATGTATATCGGTAACCGTTCTACCAATTTGTACCAAACTCGGTACTTTTATTGTGCTTGCAAAATAAAATAAAAGCAAAATGTTGAAAATTATTGAAATCGGACTAAAATTACGGCCGCTTTTCATATAAAGGTAAATTTCAGAAATGCTTGAAACTGCAATATTTCGAAATTTAAGGACGTTAATTTACTCAAAATTGATACACCCCAGCTTACCACCTAGCGGTAGCTTTCGGAAAGGTGAAAAAACATATATTTAATACTTGCGCCGGGTATTTAATGTTCGGCTCCACCCGAACTTAGACATGATGTCAAACGATATAAAAATGCGTAGTTAAATCAAAAATTGTAAGAATAAAATTAAGATCAATTGAAAAAAAAACAATGAATAGAAAAAATTTTTCAAAGAGAAAGCCCACAAATAGTGGATTTGATGTTTGCGCGGGTTGAAGAAGCTGCAGCCCTTCAAGACCAATTTATTAATTCTTTCTTTTGTTATGTACATATATATGTGCATCGTGAAGAAAAAATAAATATGAAATATACATTTCCTATAATAAGTTTTATTTCCACATTTGATTTCAAATCATTCTCAAATGTAAATCAAACCTAATTGTTTGCTGGGTTGATATTAAAAGGATCTGCTCGAAAGAAAAGTGGCATGAAATGCGGCAGCCAGCAAGAAATTGCAGCGAACCAACCAGACCAACCTCAATAAAGCCGCCACTCTGTCATGTTGAGTATACTATGTCCAACGCCAATTTCTATTCAGTAGCTTGGGGAAATTTAAGTTTTAATTGAAACACAAATAGCAATAACAACTATTGAAGCAACTTTTATATAAGATTTGTATGATTGTTGCTATTGTTATCACTGTTGGGCACTTCGTGTTGTTGCTGCTATTGCAGGTTAATGCTCATTGTACCACAAAGGACACTCTCGAAGGAGCAGAGCACAGATAAGTACGAAAAACTACTCGTACGCACATATGTATACATTTGTATATACATACGTATATCTGTGCATACATACCCACTGAGGCGGCAATAAAACATTTGGAATAACCAAAATAAATATGTATGTATGTATGTACCGCAGCAAGAAGAAGAACTCAAAACTTATATTTATAAAGAACTAAATTTTCAAAAAAATTAACTGCAATAAATAGGCCAAAATGCATATTTATGTGGTACAAGTGCAGCAAGTTTAGTTAAGGTGGAGAAGGAGTTCAAACTAGAGATGGGCGATCTCGTTACTTTTGAGTAACAACGTTATTTGTGACTGTGACTTTGCACTCACTGTGATTTTCACCCGTGGCTGTGACAAAAACAGTGACAAAAAAGTTGTAAAACAGAAATGTTTTACCGAGTGAACTAAGGGCATTTTATTCATTTATTTGGCATCACAGACTATTTTCGTCGTTTGTTTTGGTGTGAAATTCTAATATCAAACAACATTAATAGATTTTAGTCATTAAGGTTAACATCACTGGCCGCAGTTTCTCGATATGTAATTGCGAGTGCTACTTTATCACAGTCACAGTTTGTAGCAGCGACTGTGACTGTTACTGCTATTGTGGAAGGAGCAATCCTACTACAAAACATAATTGCGGCTGTTGCTTTTTTACAGTCTGTCACGGTGACTTTTTAGAAGTTGTCACAACAGTTACCCGTGACTTTTGAGTAACCGTAACAAAGTCACAGGTACGCAAATATCTGCAACCTCTAGTTCAAACACAATAATTGCTAAGTACATTGATACGTCTTTAGAATTAGGTAAGCTTCCAAATGTAAAGAAACATGACACTTGGCCGCTTTGAAGCATTCTAAAAGACGAACAGCTAAGTTTCCAAAAAAGAGAAGCAAAAGAAACTGATGACAAAAAGCAATCATCAAGCAAACGATCGGAAAGTTAGTTGAACGCAAGAAACAAAGGTTGGTGTAAAGTTTTTTATGAGCACACATAATTTCATCAGAGAGACATGGACTTATATGTATGTAGGTAGGAGCGGGAAAAATTGATAACTGTCATTACAGTGGACTTATATCGCCCACAAATAGTCACACACTCATACATAAGTACATACCCACGTAAATATATGTATATGCTTGCATTCATTTATACACCACCCATCCTTCAGATCGTAGATATTGTCAAAAAACTTGGCCATATTGTTTGAATGCAGCAGCAACAGAAACAGTAGCAACGCCATTCTCACAGAAGAGTACTACGATAAACCGTTATTGTAACGTACTACATAACGGCAGTTGTCCTCGGTCACTTGTCGTTATTTGGTAGTGGTAGTAGGTATTCGAAACGGGGCATATGGCCGTAAGTGCGTAACGACAAATGTGTGCGTGCGCTTATTCTTATTGTTGCTGTTGGTGCAAGCATTCGTAGTATTACTACTAAACTACAAGTACGAGTATATACACATACACTAACACAGCTTCTAAATACTCACACACCCTCCACTCACTACCGATGCTAATGCTATTGTGTTGATGCTAGTGTAACAACATAATATTTAATTTACCTAGATCATGAGCATTCATATGCTTAAGAACTCAAATGAACGGTAGCTACTCGTTTAGTTTATATTTCCATAAATGCCCCAATTTACCACCCACCGACATACAACAACCGGACAGACCTACTTCCACAGTTACTGCCTCAGCTAAGGCGCATGAACTCCACGACTCCTCGATGGGGAGTCATAACTGGGCACATGTGTTCCTCTAACAGGAACATTCGAGGATGGGTGGGGAATATGCACGACCTTGGTTTGCCAGTGTGTATGGGCTATATTTGCATTTAGAGTGTATATACCCGTTTGCCACACTTCCGTTCTCGCCCCATATTTTTATCGTTATCTTTAGAACTCTTAACTCTTCGTCTTCACTTGCTTGAGTGTATTCGTCCCGCGCAAGTGCAGCAACGGACTTTATTCCATTAAACTCAAATATTTTTATTTTATTCATTAAATTATTACCCACGAATGGAACGCATTTCATCACACACCAACACCTTTTGCGCGAAGGCTTACATTCATTGCCAAATTTACCATACTTTTTTTTTACAGTTACATTGTTACATACACATACATAAATGTAGGCACACTGTCGACTCCTTTTTAATCCTTGAAATGTCAAAACATGAAATCAATTATAATGCAATTCTCATTTAGTAGTAAGTATAATGAACGCGCGCGCCTGCATACCCACACGCATACACACACCTCTAAAGTTTTCTCCCACTCCCAAATGCGCACTCTCTATAATGGAATCCTTTCATTTGCATCACATGGACATGAAATGGACAACAGTCCTCTTGGCTGCCCTGTGGGATACATTTTTTCTCCTGCTTACTACCAATATCTCTACACACGCTCTCAATCGCACCAATTTTGTGTGTGCTTCTTATCTTTCTTTTTTAAGCTGCTTCTTCTTGCCTTTGTTGCGCACACTCTCCCACGCGGAAGCATGCGCTCACCGCATTCTCAACCAAGTACTCGCTACTCTCTTTCTCTCTGTCTCTTTTACCTATTTCCTTACTTCCTCTTCTTTAACGTTGCTTTTCGAAAAGCGCTTGGCATTTCCGAAAATCTGCATGCCAAAACAGTTCACTTCCGTTTTCACACTAAACATTCGAAAATTGCCATTTTTCGTAAAATATTAGTTTCGAATGTTTTTCATTCGCCGCATAACTCATTTTTTTCATTTTCTATATCTTACTATCAATTCGTTTTTTGTCATTAGGGGTTGGAATTTACTCCCATCACTGGCATCACATTACAAATTGTTAGGGTGTGTGTGTGAGTGCCATTGTCGGCATATTGCGGCGCGCCTCAGCTCTTAATGGGACACCTGCCAGCACCAGCCCCTTCATTCATGAGCCAACGCCACTGCCGCCAACGGTGAAGACTAAGCGAAGAATAAAAGTGTGGGCAGAAGAGTGCGGCAAGAAGCCAGTGTAGACGAGAAGTTCAGTGTGTCGCGATATGTTTGACTGCTTGCGTGCACTGCCCTATCCTGCCCCACCCTCGCTGTTTGTCTTTGCGTTCTGCACCACTGCCTTGTTCGCCTGGCACACAAGAAATTGTGGTGTACAGAGATTTTCTCATTCGGAATTGTGGGGCAGCGCTATAGAAGCAGCAGCCGAATAAAAGAAGTGAAACGAAATATATGAAATATATGAAACGACGACTTACAATTCAATGCTCCGCAAATTTCCGCACATAAATTTTCATATGTATTCACATCACTGCCGAAAGATATTTATTTCGAAAATTAATGGCTTTTTTCCATGCTTCACTATTCTATTGGTATTTTTTGGCCAACTTCCTTTTTTCAAATATGTGCCTCAGAAAAATAATTGCACAAGCATTCTTTAATGGACTTTTTACTCAAATTACATTAAACTTTTCACGCACTATTCATTTTTAAGTGGATTCGAAATTCCACCACAAAATTGTTACTTTTAATAAAATATTCCTTCTCAACAAGGGTAAACGCCAATGCAAAATGGCTACGCGCAAAAAAATTCAGCTTTTCGTATGAAATTCTGCTTTCTTTTCAGGTCTTTTTTGCTTCCCGCACTTTTTCACTTAATTTTCATGCAACTGGAAAACATTTTTGTCAATCTTTTATTCAACTAAATATTGTAAAATTTGTTTCTTTTTTCACCTAAAGAAACTTAGTTGTGCTTTGCTGTACTGGTTTGCTGAGTGATAGGCGACACGTTCACATCGTTTGACCAGCGCCTTAGTTCGAAAAGGCTTCCATTCACGAGGGGTTTACGCACCGTACTAAATGAGATTTGCGTTGCGCTTCTGTATGACACGAGTTCGCTGTTCGTCGCTCCCACATAATGGCGCATACAATGGGGTGTAAGATAATGTGCCGTTAGTCGCATACCATAGCATAAGTGCACAAGTGAAAGAAACTTCGTATTTCCCCTTCCCAAAAACAGCGGTATGTGGCATTCGAAATGGAGAAATGCAACTGTGTTCTTGTCATCCGGTTTAGAATACGACTATTTTCGAAAATAAAAACCACAAAGGCATTATCCCAGTCAGCACTTGGGGTTGCACACAATTCCTCAAGTCGTTGGCCTCTGTGGTCCTAAATCTGAAAAAAAAACAATGTACATATCGCACGAAGTATTTCAAAATTTCAATTTTGGGGGAAAACAATCAAAGTTTTATCAATTCATACAGTTAGTATACAAAAAGACAGATGGTAAGACACATATCTTAAAATTGCGGTATTGAGTTTGGTGTTCACACAACGTCAGCTGCCCAATTAGCGATAGGAAATCAGTTGTTGTTACAATCGTACTCTTATTTAGTTTGAAAGCACATTCGGTATAAACACACAATTTTAGGTACATTTGCAACGTAGCCAAATAGCTTCTCAGGAAATAAGTTCTTATTTTTACTGACATTTCAATGCATTTTCTGGTGCGGGCAACTGGTCGAATAGCTTCCCTCCTTTGTGAAGAGGCATACAAATGATACAGAAGGGTGGTCAAAGTAACGCAACTGTAGTTGATTTCGCCAGACAGATGCAAAATATTTCTTTTTAAAACGTCAGATCGAACAACTAGGAGGAAAGTGATTCACCTTTTTTACAACATAGTTTTCTCTCGCGCTGCTCCAAGAGATTCTTTTCATAGCCAAAAATTTGTTTAATGTGAGTACAGAAGTTGATTGGCATCGATGGGAATTGTTACCTCCTATTTTTCTTTATATATAAATACATATTTACTTTTTAGGTACATCTATCTTCTTTTAGGTAAAGTTTCCGTAAATTAGGTACAATTTTATAATTCAATTTTCCAATCCCTGATGGAATATCAGCTGTAAAAGAGGACCATAAATAAACATCTGATTTTTCTTTGTTCAATAAACATACCTCCAAGTCAAACTAAACATACCTAGCAGGGTTGCATAGAGAATCTGACACAAATTGATTACCAATTAATTATTAATTGGCAATTTATAATTTTAATTTTCGTATGATAAATTGTGTAACAATTAAGGCCTGCATTGGTGAAAAGGTTCTTAATTGCCAATAAGGTGCCTGTTTAAACATAGTCTTAGCCATATTTGGGAACTTTGGTTATCTGATATGGGCATTCCCATGGTGGCGCACGTGACAGGCGTACGATTTCAATGTGATACAAAAAAGAAATACCATTTGTTTTCTTTAACTTTTTTGGGCCATTGTATAGCACATAATTAGCTCTATATTTAACCGGAAAATGAAATCAATCGAACTGCTTGGTCCTGAAATATAAGCATTTAAAGAGAGTGTCGTTACGTGACAAAAAATGGAAGTTGATTTTTTCTTTTCTTGCAAAATCGCAAAACTCTTCGAATTGTGGATGGCTATTTTCATGAAACTTATTTTAATATGATTTGGAGCAATTCTAGTTGTTTTTAGAGTTTTTTGAATTAATGCAAATTATTTCAATTCTCTTTTACAACCCCAAGTGTGAAACGTGACGTGACGTGGCGTCACGTGACATAAATTTCCATCATTATTTTTTTGTTAATATTGCTTTTAAATTAACTTTTAACGCAAATAAAACATTTATTTTATGTAGAATATACTTTATATTTTGATTTCAGCGCCAATTCAGGGTCAATTTATTAGAAATCTATGATTTATTATGTTTCAACCACATACGCCAAATTCGAACCAAATCGGACCATAAATACGGTTTTTCGAAATATCTCGACCTTGGCACCACCTAGGAAAACCATTTTATGCAAACATGATTCTACTTACATAGCCAGTATATATTTTAAAGAGCAGACAAATCGGCCCGTAAATACGTTAGATATAAAACTTTTATTTTTTTTGTCGTGGTGGACATTCCGCTGGAAACACCCATATACAGAACATATTATACTTATCAAGCTTATTAATTGCATAATGAAATCTCCAAAAACGTAGACTTTAAGTTAGATTCATCTCTATATTATTAAACGTCCGATATACACATTTTTGCAATGGTATTACGTACACTGAGGGGAAAAAATATTAAAATCAATCAGAAACGTAATTGATCTTACTATAAACGTCAACGAAAGTAGGTACCGTATATTGGTAAATATTCAATTCAATTATGCGCATATAAAAACGACCGCGTTCGTTCTGAAAAAGCATCGGTGAAGTGAATAATCAAGATAAAAACCAAAAAAAAAATATTTATATTGCATGTTGCCTGCAGTGGAATTCGAACCCTGACCCTCTCTGGTACTACGTTTATGCGTAGTCAAATTCACGAAATCATTTCATGAATTTGGGTTAAAATTGGCTGCATAAACACAAATTAATGAATTTAGTTATACACGAAAGTTAACCATGAATTCGGCATCATTTCATGAATTAGTAGAAGTCCGGCAACGCCACACTTTACAAACAATTGTTGTTGAATATCAGAAAATAAACATTTTTAAGCGACAACAAGGGTGTTTTGTTTTAACTCATTCTAATCTGTTTACGTCGCTTAGCACTCATAATAAACTTTTAATAAATTAATTTTCGTGATTGGGATAAAGAAAAACATTTGGGTATTCACAGGATACGATTTCCACCAAATTTTGGCAAATAACCAATCGTGTGACACTGCCTTTAAACTTGTGTTTAGACGGATGTTATTAAAGAATGAACTATAAAAAACTAACCAAAATTAAGTTAAAAAAAATTATATTTTAAAACTTCTGACAACTTGGTGCTGCTATAATTTTTTCGACTACTGTACATTAAACTGCATCGCCACAAAAAAAGTAGCGGTTTTTCTGGCGGGATTACCAAACCTAGCATATTTTAAGACTTCTACCAAAATATTGCGGAAAAATATTAAGATACCTCTAAAAATTTAGTTTTTTATGAATAAAAATAGTTTCTTAAAGGATTTTCTGGAAAAAACCCCCAAATGACTAAACAGTTTAAGCTTAAAAAAAAACTCATTCACGTCCCAAATTTTTTTTTTTATCAAATGCCACCACATCTTAATTCAAAATGGAATGACACGCGTTTATCTTACCTTCCTCTTTCATACTTTGAATGAGCTTATTCGCAAATAAATTAAAAGGGAGAGAAAATACCTTACCAACGATACCTCATAAGTCTAAATTGGTAAGGTTTTGGCTGAGTTATTCAAGTTTTTCTTAAACCAGTCTTTGAAAAAAGGTCAAAAATAGCATCAGAAATCTCATTATTATGATTCCGTAGAAAAATTTTTCTAAATTTTTTTTATGCAAACTTTTTAAGCTTAAACTGTTAAGTAATCTGAGGTATATTCAAAAAAAAGATCTAAAAAAACTTTTTATTAATAAAAAACTAAATTTTTGGAGGTATTTTCAAAATGGTTCAGCTCACGTAAATCCTAATATTTTTGCGAGGTATTTTGGTGGAAGTCTTAAAATGTAATAGATTTTAAAATTCCAGTGGAAAACACTGGACTACTGTACATAAGTTGACTATGATTACTGGGCCGTGCTATTATAGTAGCACAAGCCACTATGTGCTAAAATTTTCAGGCAATAGCCTCATGCGATTATCGATTATATTTTTTGTTGTTTGTTTGAAATATTTTATTTGTATCAGTATTTTTCTTTTAATCAAAATACGTTGAATTAAAAGTGAAAATAAAAAAATATTTTGCCAGAACCCCCTCCAGAAAAAAAATTCTGGCTACGGCCCTGCACGGGTATATTAATTTTGTTCACATAACGGTTGTTTGTAACAGCCAAAACGAATCGAGATAGATATAGACAAATGTATATATAAATGCTCAGAATGAATAGAGAAGTCGATTAAGCCATGTCTGTCTGTCCGTCCGTCTGTCCGTCTGACCGTCCGTCCGTGTACACGATAACTCGAGCAAAAATTGAGATATCTCAACGAAATCTGGTATGTAGGTTTCTATTAATCCAAGGTAGTTTGGTGTTGAAAATGGGTGAAATCGGACTGTAACCATGCCCACTTCCCATATAACGGTAATTTCCAGAAGTACGAAAACTGCGATATTTTAGTAACTACTCAAGATAATTCACTCAAAAATTATATTTACAATAATTTTCAGACGAAAAATAAGAATATTATAAATTTTTGGAAAATGGGCGTAGCCACGCCCACTTATGACGTGTACATGTGTATATCTTGGTAAACGCCGCACCAATTTCTTCCAAACTTGGCACAGTTGTTGGCCTTGGTACAGCATACTAAAGCGGACAATAACCACGCCCACTTCCCATATAACGGTAATTTAGAGAAATACAAAATCTTCGATAAATCAGTAAATATTAAAGCTAATTTATTCAAAATTTATGCTTACAACAATTGTTTACCAAGAAATACATCTATGGTAAAATTTTTGAAAAAGGGCGTGGCACCGCCCACTCATGATCACATATATGTATATGGGTAACCATTCTAACAATTTGTACCAAACGCCGGGTATTTAATGTTCGGCTCCGCCCGAACTTAGACTTTCTTACTTGTTTTTAATATTCATTATTTACTTATTTGTGTTGATTACGGGAATTCGAACCAATATGTATAAAAAAATCGTCATTTATGTATTTATATACCGAATAGGTGCTTTTGTTAAATACCCTCATTTATGTATATAAGTATTTTAAACAATAACATCTAGAAGATGTACTGCGTTCAAAAAACAGCCTCATTTATATACAGTTACAAAATTGAGTATGCTGTAATTGTTTCTAATATTTGCAATGTTTTTATACTAAACTTTGTTGTTAATTTCTTTATTAAAATATGGCTTATATTGCAAACTTTTTAATAC